CTCCTGAAAGATGTTGACAGCCTTGTGAAAAAGTCAAAGCATTTGCAGGAAGGGGCACAGTCAGAGTCAGCTGAAGCTCTCAGGAAGCTGGCTGAGGAGCTGGAGGAGAAGTTGGGGAAGCTTGACAAATTCTACAAGGCACTCTGATCAGGCCCCATCCCCCAAGACAAGCTGGGGTCAGGACGGAGCTGGGGACAGTGGAGACACTGGCCAATTATGACGACTGTTATAACACATGTGCCTACATGCCTGTGTTCATGTACATGTGCAGGTGTACATACGTACAAAGGGAGAAAGGACAGCCTCAGTTGTACTCAGATACTGTCCTTGTTTCTGAGACAGGGTCTCTCACTGGACTCACATTTGCCAAGCAGACTGGACTAGCTGGTCAGCGAGTCCCAAGGGTCCTCCGGGCTCTGCCTCCCCAGCTCTGAGATTACACATCATGCCCCTGGGCCTGGCCCTTCTTACCTGGGTCTGAGGGATGGGACTCAGGTTTGCATGCTTACATGGCAAGCACCTTCCCAACAGAGTCTCCCCAGCCCTTACAAGGACTCACCTCCTACTAGGACCACAAAGTTTGCCTTGGAAAGCCCTAACATCACCCACCCCAGGGGAACTCTGCACATCTTTAGAGTTCCGGGAGGATGGTTACAGCATACATAACCGTAGGGTGGGTCTGACACAGCCCATTTTACCCAGACAGGAGCCGACTTTCTCACGCACTTGACCTCTGCGGTTACAGGGCTAAGGCACTGGCACTGCACAAAGTGCTGAGGGATCTGACAGCGCTCTCGGCCCTAGCAGACAGACACAGACTCCGGAGAGACCTGCAGGGCAGGAGGAAGTTCTTGACCGCATTTCCTCCCTTGAGAGCAGAGGTGGGAGAGCACATCAGGCAGCTCCACGCCCTGGCTGAGCACACTGAGGGGGTGCACAGGGGCTGCACCATCTCCAATGTCGTGGCCGACTCCTTCAGCACTGCCTCTGACATCCTGGGCCTCCTGGGTCTGTTTCTGGCACCAGTGACAGCGGAGGGCAGTCTGATGCTCTCCTCTGTTGGCCTGGGGCTGGGAGTGGCAGCTACTGTGACTAATGCTGCCACCTCCATCGTGGAGGGAACAAGCAGGTTTGGGGATGAAGTTGAAGCCGGTTACCAGGCCCCACCTGGCCTGGATGTGTTGGAGGCTGGAACAGCCGTGGGGTGGATTGCCAGCAAGTTCCCTCAGGCTACCAGAGATCTCACCAGAGACCTTGACGCCCTTCAGCAGCACATGGATGCCCTCAGGCTGGTTAGAGCCAACCCTGGCTTAGAAGAAGATGCCAGGATCCTTGCCACCACCGGAAGGATCCCTGCCCAACGTGCTAGAAGGGTGCAGGCCACCTTGAAAGGAACCCCTCTGGCGATGAGCAATGAAGCCCGGATCAGGAGTGCCACCAGGGCAGGTGTGTCTCTCCTGAAAGATGTTGACAGCCTTGTGAAAAAGTCAAAGCATTTGCAGGAAGGGGCACAGTCAGAGTCGGCTGAAGCTCTCAGGAAGCTGGCTGA